TATTATCACACGCCCTCTGCCCCCTATGTGCTGTCACAGCGCAGCCAGCCACTGGTCATCAGCTCCGAAGGTGAGCTGTTCTGGTCCTTCTTCAGACCCCCCCAAGGGTCAGGCGGTGGTGGCGCACGCCTTTAATCCCAGCACTGCGGAGGCAGAGGCAGGAGGATCTCTGTGGGTTCCAGGCCCAGCCTGGTCTACAAAGCTACACAGAGAAATCCTGTCTTGAAAAGCAAAACAAACAAACAAGGGTCCAGGGACATCAACCCCATTCAACTTAGAGACTTGGAAACAAACAAACAAACAGACCCCAGGGTCCAGGGACATCAACCCCATTCAACTTAGAGACTTGGGAAACAAACAAACAGACCCCGAGGGTCCAGGGACATCAACCCCATTCAGCTTAGAGACTTGGAAACAAACAAACAAACAGACCCCGAGGGTCCAGGGACATCAACCCCTTTCAGCTTAGAGACTTGGGAAACAAACAAACAAACAGACCCCGAGGGTCCAGGGACATCAACCCCTTTCAGCTTAGAGACTTGGGAAACAAACAAACAAACAGACCCCAAGGTCCAGGGACATCAACCCCTTTCAGCTTAGAGACTTGGGAAACAAACAAACAAACAGACCCCGAGGGTCCAGGGACATCAACCCCATTCAGCTTAGAGACTTGGAAACAAACAGACCCCGAGGGTCCAGGGACAACAACACCATTCAGCTTAGAGACTCGGGAGTTGCATCAGAAACGCAGAAGAGCATCAAGACTCTGGGATAAGGGACCAACACCCGTCTCCCTCTCTTTGGCCTACAGGTCCTGGCTCCTCGGACTACACTCAGGCAAACCTCATTCGCTTGGGGCTGGCAGGCCTGGTCCTCATCTGCTTGGGCGTCTTAGTTACCTTTGACTGGCACAGCAGAAGCTCTGCTTTTGGCCGCCTCCTGCCCCAGCAAAACTGGGTGTAGCCACGTGGGATGGGAAGAGAAACCCTGGAGGCGGGCAGCGAAGCCGGGACCTCGGTGACTGGTTGCCATGGAACATTCCAGGCCTCCAGACTCCACGAGATTAACCGTCCTCCCTCACCTTTCTGCACTGTAGCGTCCTGCTGGGTCCTCTCCTAGACCTGTGAGGGGAGTGGCCAATACTACTGGGTTTTCTCTTTGATTGTAAAATGGTTCGATAACCACATAATTGCGCTTGTTAAAGGATTAAAAGCAGTGACTGGCCTATGGTAAATGATGTTCTGTTAATGTTAGTGACTTTATCCTACCTTGAAAACCCCTTCCCGGGGCTGGAGAGATGGCTCAGCCGTGAAGAGCAATGCCTGCTCTTCCAAAGGCCCTGAGTTCAACTCCCAGCAACCACATGGTGGCTCACAACCATCTATAATGAGATTTGGTGCCCTCTTCTGGCCTGCAGGAATTACATGCAGGCCGAACACTATAAATAAATAAATAAATAAATAAATCCTTTTATTTTATTTTATTTATTTTTTGGTTTTTCGAGACAGGGTTTCTCAGTGTAGCTTTGGAGCCTATGCTGGCACTCGCTCTTGTAGACCAGTCTGGCCTCGAACTCACAGAGATCCGCCTGCTTCTGCCCCCCCAGTGGAAATGCACCACCACAGTTTTGATAATTTCTTATCTATGCTTTGCCACCTGGCTTGGTGCCTTTTCTCAGGACAGCCTGCCCATCTTGCTTCTCACCGCATCTGCTGGCAACTCCAGACTCCGCCCTCTTCTTCCCAGCATTCTGTTTGGCTCTCCTGCCTAACCTTATCCAGTTCAGCTATTGACTAGTCAGCTTCTTTATTAAACCAATCACAGAGCCGGGCATCGGTGACACACGCCTTTAATCCCAGCACTCGGGAGGCAGAGGCAGGCGGATCTCTGTGAGTTCGAGACCAGCCTGGTCTACAAGAGCTAGTTCCAGGACAGCCTCCAAAGCCACAGAGAAACTCGTCTGGCAAAACAAAAACAAACAAACAAACAAACAAAAAACAAACCAATCACAGCAACATATATTCACACATTGTAAAGGAATATTCCACAGTGAGCCCCATCTCACCATGTTTAATGACTTACCAAGAATATATATATATATATATATATATATATATATATATATTGGGTTTTCGAGACAGGGTTTCACTGTAGTTTTGGAGGCTGTCCTGGAACAAGCTCTTGTAGACCAGGACGGTCTCGCACTCACAGAGATACTCCTGC